CTTAAAAAACGTTGCCATTAAGTTCAACACATGGCTACTCCATATGTGTCAGAGTAGAACTGTGATCCATAGTGTTTTCCATGGCGGATTTTTTTGGAAGTAAATTGCCAGATCTTTCTTCTGAGGTACCTCTGGGTGGACTTGAACCTACAATCATTCAGTTAGGAGCCAATTGCATTAACTACTTTCACTACCCAAGGACTCTCTCTTTCTCTGTCTCTATGTATATACATATATATATATTTATATACTTACTACAATAAGAAAAGGAAAAAAAGGCTATAGAATTTCACCATGTCCACATTGAACTAGGGGAGGAAACACCATGAATGTGATGGTAACGAGTGAACCATATTTGGCAATTATCCAGTAGTCCTGCTTTGCTGGAGTGTAGAATCAACTGTGGAGATAAGAGTAAAAAGTTAGATTGAGGCCATATTCTTAAGGCCTTGAATACCGAGCTCATAAATTTGAATTTAATCCAGTAATCAAAGAGGGTTTAGAACATCGGAGTGACCTGTTGAGAGTGGTCCTTTAGAAAGATCAGTGTGGTGTAATGTGCAGGATGGGATAGAGGCAGAGAAGAACTGGGGCAGGGAAGCCCGTCAGGAGGCTCTAGTCCTGGTGGTAGGCAGTGAAGGGATAGATAGGTATTGGGATAGAAAGTGGATATAGATTTAGGACATACTGCCAGAGTAAACGCCACACACTTGACAGCTGATTGAACATGAGAAACAAAAGGAATGGAGGAATTAAAGATGACTCCTCAGTTGTAGGTCCCAGTAACTGGATAAAGGTGTTACCAATGGCAGGAAATGGGAAGACTGGAGAAGGAAGAGATTTTGAGAAGGCTTTGAATTCTATTTTACACTTGCTGAATTAGAGATGCCTATGTAGTCAGAATCGACAGCAACGGGATTTTTTCATGTAGTATTTAAGGAGCCTTGTTGGTGCAGCAGCTAAGCACTCACCTGCAAACTGAAAGGTTGAAAGTTCTGTGGTATGAACCTACCAGCCGCTCTGTGGGAGAAAGATGTGACAATCTGCTTCCGTAAAGATTTACAGCCTTGGAAACCCTGTGGGGCATTTCTGCTGTGTCCCTACAGGGTCACTTTAAGTCCGAAGCAAGTAGACAGCAGTGAGTTTGGTTTTGGATGTAATATTTAAGGAGCCCTGGTGGTGCAGTGGTTAAGTGCGTGGCTGCTAACTGAGAGGTAGGTAGTTCAAAGCCACCAGCCACTTAGAGGGAGAATGATGTGGCAGTCCACTTCCATAAAGATTACAGCCTTAGAAACCCTATGAGGCAGTTCTACTCTGTCCTGTAGGGTTTCTATAAGTAGGAATCACCAGACTGCAGTGGGATTAGAAGGTAGTATTTGATGGAGATTTGAGTTCCTCAAAGTTAGAGACCCTATTTTATTCATCATTTCCAGGTACCTAATAGATGCCATGTGAGTACTGAATGAATGAACAACCAAACAGATGAGTAAATGAATAACCAGCAGTTATTTAGAGTGTGAGGACTGGAGCTCTGTAGACAAACAAGAACTAGAGATAGCAATGTGGGTGTTCTCTATGGAGAAGTGATTGTCGAGACCACGGAGGGTGGGTGTAGGCAAAACCTGAGGAGAGAATCTTGAGGAATGTCTCCATTTAGAGAGCAGGAGAAAGAAGACGAGCCAGTGAAGAAGACAGAAGAGCGAAATGAGAGGTAGGGGAAAAGGCAGGGAAGTGCCGTGTGTCAGATGCCAAAGGAGGAGAGTTTCAGGAAGGAAGTGGTCACTGGGGCCAGCGTGGCCAAGGGGCGAGGCCTGGGAAAAGACCACACTGGGTTTGAGGCTGAGACAGGCACTACTGGATTCTGTAGCCCCGTAGCTGAGCTCCTCAGGGTTAGAGGACATGGGAGGAGTTGGAGACTTTACAGTGAGGACCAGACAGGCAGGAGCTCAGGACTGGGGCCAGGTCAGTGGGGATTTTAGAATAGGTAAGAACTGGGGGGCTAGGAGGCAGTAAAGCGGGAAAGACTGAAGTGTAATCAAGAACACAGGCAGAAGAGTGAGCTCTGGCAAGGTTGGAGGACATACTGCCCAGTACCTCCACCCTCACCCCCAACTCAGCTTCTGACTCAGAAGCACAAAATTCATCTCTGCCTGCACGGACAGGGTGCTGTCCCTGGTGTCTCAGGCCATCGTGGCAGACAGATGGAAATCCTGAGAATGGAGCCTGGATGACTTCCTCTCTGTTCTCCCTTCCCCGACTTGCCATCCTTGGCTGCATAGATGCAGGGCCAGCTTCTTAACCAAATTCCACAATCCTGTCTCTATCAAAATACATGATCACCATCGCTGACTCATTTAACAGCTGTATTTTTGGTATTTTGTCTGATCTAGATGCAGCTGCTCTCTGTTCCCTGCCCCAATGAACATCTGCACTAGGCCCAAGCCTTGGAGTGATTTACCTGAAGAGTGACACCATTTATTTGGAAACTACTGTAAGTACATTATGCCTCAAATGAAAGGCTTCTTAGTTCACTATGTGTAATGTAACACGCACATACACGATTATAAAAGCAGGACAAGTGTTAGATGGCTTTATCTCCTGGGTGCAGTGTGGTAGCCAGACTCAGTCCTGAGGTGCCTAAGGCGGTTCTGGGTTCCCAGCCTGCAGTGCATGCCCTGAGCAGCATCGTTACCTCCCGGCCAGGTGCTGTGCTGAGCCAGATCTCAGCACACCTTGCAGGGCCTGGTGCAATTCTGCTTGGTCGCCTGCACCTCTACCTGAAGCAGAGGCATCTCCTTCCAGGGCTCATCACCCCTCTGTACTGCTCTGCTTGCATTGCACTGCAGCTTGTTGTTTCATGACACCCTGGTCATATCCGCAGGCCAGGTTTGTTCACCCGTGTCTACCTGTTGTCTGAGCTGCAGCTCTGTGCCCCATGCTGTGGTCTCCTTGCTACCCCAGGGGCCAAGGACCACCACCTGGGGCTCTGGGCTCCAGGCGCAGATTGCCAGGCCATCACGCCAGCTCAGCTCTTCTGTCTGGGTGCATGGCTCTGTGTAGTTGGTTTATTCCTTCCATAATCAGGGAATTATGTAAAAGTACAGGCCTTGCAGGAAAGGGGCAGAAATAAGATGGGGTAATAAATATGATACCTACAGAAGTCTACTGATTAAAAATTGATACCAAGTATTCATTAAGCATTGCTAAAAATTATGTGCCTTTTTGTACTAGGAAAGCCAGAAAATGGATTTACAGGCTATGCATGCAAAATAACTGTAAATTTAAAAGCATACTCTCTTTCTAGTTGTTGTATTCCCAAGTTTTCCTGTACGGTACGAGGCAGATGACAGGGTGGTGTTTCACAGATGTCTCTGTAGGGTACGAGGCAGGTGACAGAGTGGTGTTTCACAGACATGTCTGTAGGGTACAAGGTAGGTGACAGGGTGGTGATTCACAGATGTCTCTGTTACTGGGGAATGATAAACCTGGAGGCTAATGTCCCTCTTAGGCTTCAGGTAGGACTTTTCCTTCAGATTTTCTGTCTTCAGCTATGCTGGCACAAATCAAACCCAAAGGGATGAAGCTAGAGTTTTCATTTTTGTTTGCTTTTTGCATTTAATGCCGTCCGTCTTCAGAATTGTAACTGATGGTAGCTGATGTGTAGGTGTAGGTCCTCCCTGACCAGGACAGAGATGGAACCATCACAGTCGTCAGGACTGCTGACGTGGTCTGTAGTATTAATGGGTTCAAGGGGTTGGGTGCTAAAATCATGACAGAAAATCAAAAATAGAATTTCTTCCTGCAATACCCATGCAGGGAGCTTACTTGTGTAACACCTTCATCCATCCTTAAGTTCAAGTGCAGGGAATGCCTTAGAAATCCACACGTTTGGATAGTTTTCTGAGCTTTTCTTCATCACAGAGTAGCTGCGCTGGTGCAGTCAGCACAGCGGTCCTAGGACACAGCCTGGCTTCAGAGCTTCTGTGTCTAGAAGGGAAAAGTCCCTACCACCCCTACCTCCCTCTTCTGCAGAGAGCACACTGCAGACCCAGCCACCAGGACCTGATGTTTCCTGAAGAGCATGGGGGAACCCCAAAGTGAGCGTCTGCTTCTGCCGTGGAAGTGTCTCACCTGCATGGGGTTCCATGCGTACTCCCCTTCTCGTGGGCCTGAGAGGATGGACAGATTGGGTTAGAATGCTAGCAGCTTCCACTTTTCAGAAACTCTGCCTCCTCATGTAGAAGAGAGAAATAATAACAAAACTTACAAAAATCAGTAAAGTGGATAAAGTATAAAAATGTGAACTAATTATAAGAATATGCCCTTCCTGTGGGTTGACAATGCTCTGGACCAGGTCTCAATCCTTTGGGGTGGGTAAAAAAGAAATGAGTGTTAGGTTTTGATACCCACCTACCCCATACCACCTGCACAGTCATGCTCACTAGCCCTATTTACTCAGTTGTGCGATAGTTAAGTGAGAAATGTATATATAGTGTCTGGCACATTGGAGGTGAGTATATTTGTTCAGTCAACCAACATTCACTGAGCACTTACCACGTGGCACTGTTCTAGACACTAGGGAAATGGCAGCAAACAAAACAGACAAAAATCCCTGCTGTCATGGAGCTTACATTCAGTTTTCTTCCCCCCATAAATAACAAATAGACAACATAGGCACTTGGAAGCTAAGAGGGCTTTTGTTTTATTTTGCTATGTCTTTCTTTCCAGAAAGTAGGATTGTGAGGAAAAGGGCAAAGGAAATAGAGAAGAGAAATAAAGTGTATTTTTTGGCACGTAATACAGCACACATGTAACGCTAACGAAAACAGCGCGGGGGGGGGAAGGGTTGCGTAGTTGGCAAAAATGTATAACGCACGCGTTATTTGTGTAAAAATACAGTATGTATGCTGTTTTGTCTCCGCTCCCCTTTCTGAAACCTCGGATTCATCCTCTGCCCTTCTTTGCCCTGATCATGTGGCCCAGGAGATTGACCCTCTGGACTCCGTTACCCAGGCTCTCATGTCCTCTGGCTTCTCTGAATTTGGCCAAAAGGAGACAGCAGCAGGAGATCTGAGAGCAGGAGGAGAGAGAGGCCAGCATTGGTCCCGTCCCCCTACCCAGCTCCAGTCCTCGATGGACTTCAAAAACACCACCCCCTTCCTTTGCCCCTTCGGTTTAACAGTTTAAAGCTGAGATTAACAGCTTTCCACTGCTGCTAGTCCCTGGTGCTTCACCATCCCTTGAGGGTCCCTTAACCTCATCTGCACCTCAGTACACAGTCCTTTCATTACCTTCTCGTCAATGAAAACCTTTGAGTGTACCATGTGTTTCTTGCCAGATTCCTGACTGATACAGTGAGGGAGAAAGACACTGATAAACATTATAAATCAGCCCTGCCAAGAAGGTTAAAAAAATAAATAAATAAGACTGAGAGAAGAAAATGTTTTAAGCATGAAAACATCTTACACTGACGTGAGAATATTAGAGCAAGTCGTGAAAGGCTACATGGTAAGAAAACAAGATAAGCAAGAGTGCCCTAGGTTGGCTTCAGTGAACAGACCGAAGTGCTCGGGCTTGATGGACTTCTATCGGACAGGCGCAGCTCGCTTGCCCTCAGCTTCAAGGGGGCTCTTGGTATAGCAACAGCAACGACAAACATGTGAACAGAGGGTAGTACAGTGAGATCAGAGTGTTAAAGAAGAGGTCGCTTGTCTCAGCACTTATTCTGCCTTTGCTACAATAATAATCCATTTGCCCCTGCCTCAAATCTAGATAGTTATTAAAAAAAAAAAAAAAGACTACCAAGATGAAGGAAGTATCTCCTTACAGCTGAAACAATGAAAACCACAGAACTGCCCTCTCTATGGAAAGAGCTACCTACCTATTGCGCACTTACTGTGTGCCAGCACTAGGCTGACCACTCTGCATCAATTATCTCATTTAACCCTCACAGCAGCTCTAGGAGATAGGTCCTATTATTCCCATTTTACGGATGAGGAAACTGAGGCTCCGAGAGGCAGAGTGATTTGCCTAGGGCACCCAGCCACTAGGTGGTGAAGCTCAGTTCTGCTACTAGTTTGTTAACAGTTGCCGCCTCTGCTCGCCCCCTCCCCTGACACTCTCCCTGTGCTATTGGGGATGAGAGTGAGGAAATCCTCCAAATAGACTGGGTGGGCATCATCGCTCTACATTATCATGATCCAATGGCTGGATAATTATTTCTCAAAAGGAGGTTCTAAGTCTTTCCTATCCAGCCACGCTGCTAAATGAGAGGCATCTTACTGTGCAGGAGAGGGTGGGAACCCAGTGAAGAGAGAAATTGGGAGAAGGAGATAGAAGAGAGCACTCTCCTCTCAACAGACCATGGAGACTGATAAGAGCTCACACAGATAAAATATTTATTTTCCATATGTTGCAAAAAGCACTGCCATCACTGTATGTGTGCAATATGCGCCAAGGCTTATGGAATATATACATCAAATGCCACCGAGCTGGTTAATTTCCATGCATTTAACATACTTAATACCTACCATCTTATCAATATGTTTTAATGCATATTTCTTTCCACATACAATATGGTCTGGTTAGGAAAGAGCCAGCATCATCCACAGTCTTATCACTGTTAGGTTTCAGCCCAAAATGTGTTGCCAGGCCAGCACCAGGAGAGCTAACAGCCAGAAGGTCCTCCTGGCTGCCTCAGCTGCCCGCCCGTCCAGTTCATGAGGCAGCTTTTCTCTCCTAACAGAAACGTTTGCCGTGGAAAGATGAAAATGTTTTTTGTTCTCTTTGGGCAGTTGGGAGCGATTCAGTCAGAATGTCAGAGCTGACCGTTGAAAGGCAGGTGCCTGCGGTCACCCTTTTCTTGTGTTTTGTGTGTTTTTGGATGCAGAGCCGCACGAGCATGGCGCGAGGAAGTGCACGGTGATTGGTCTGTTTCTCTGGGGAGGTGTTCAGGGTACGCCCAGTTTTGCTTTGCATTCATTTATAAAACATCTGCCCTTCTCTTGTTCTTAAGTCCTTCCCCTCCCCAGCCCTCCTTCCCCTTTTCCCTGGTTTCTTTCTTTGTTGTTGTTGGCTTGTTTAACTTTTTCATTGGAGCTTTCATTTTCCAGTTGAGGGGCGACTTCATCAAGTGTATAATTTCAATACTCAGAAAAAGTAAGGGGGAGAGAGAGAGAGGGAGGGAGAGGAAGAGAAGGAGAGGGAGAGATTGAGAGCAAGCTGAAAAGAAAGAGAGACTGAGAGGCCAGAGCTTGGCAAACCAACCTTTGGCATGATGACCAGAAGGAAGGTTCTGGTCGGGAGTTGGCCTCGGAGAGGCTGGCTGGACTCAGCAGTGTGCTGCTGCCCTCTAAAGGCTCCAGGGAGTAATGCGCAGCCGGAGGCTTGGTAAGACTTTGTCCTCCGTGTGCCATGTTTATATAATTCTTTTAATACAACCAGACAAAGTATTTTCAATTAATCACTGGAGAGTTGGATCTTTATTCCTTAATAAACTATGAAATGTGAAAATGGGGTCAAAATGACCACACCTGTGTATTTGTAAACATAGACTTATGCTATGGTCAGAGTGCAAAAGAACTATTAGAGGGTGAGATGGAAAATGAATTGATTCTAAGGACAGTGAGTGGCCGTTAGCTATGAAGTTCGGAAACAGCCGGTGTTGGGAGAATAAGTGAAGTGCTGTTAGTAAATGGAGGAGGGGGATAAGCCAAAAAGTTTTAGTTTTTGATGTTTTCTGTTTGTAGAGGTAGCTCCAAGACTTCTGTGCTATGAATGTTCTCCAAAAGTGATCCTTGAGACAACAGACGGGAGGGTCTGGTTCATGATGTCAGGTAGGAAACAGGATCAAATCTCGGGAAGGAAGCAAGGTCATTTATATGAAGAGCAATACAATTTTTGCATTGTTAAAAATAAAATCGTAATGTTGGGTTGTTTGGACATATACCCATGTTTGAAAGAGGGCTTCCTTACTTTCCTGAAGCACACATCTAAAACTAGCCCAGGCCTTGTCTAGAAGCATCGAAGTTTTTTTTCCTGTTTAGTGATATCTGTCATTAGTGTTTAGTCTCTGTATTTAGATGAATCTGCGTACCAGCCTTGCTTTAGTGAGCAAAACGGTCCTACTCTCGAGCAAATGCCCTTCATGGGTTCACAGGAAAACAGCTAGTCAAGGTGGACTTCACTGCTGGGTTCCAGACTATGACTGCTCTCAAAATATACTTCAATTTCAGCTCCATCTCATTTAATCAGTGAGCACATGTTGAGTGACAGCTTTGTCTAAGCCACTTTGTAATTGTGACAGCAAACTGGGAGGGCGAGAGCCATGCCTGTTTTGTTCCATAGCCCATGCTGGCCCATCCAGGCACATAATAAATATTTATGAAATGAATAAGTGAACAAATGAATAATGGGAGGGAAGAAAGAGGGAAAGAATTGATGAACACAGGGAGTACAAAAATCATGAAGACATGTCCTTCCCCTCTGAGAGCTTACAGTCTCATAGGAGCGATATGCACATAAAAAAAATTATTGAAATAAAATTTAGTGAGTAAAACAAGAGAAGTAAAAAAAATCTTTGGGGGATTTTTCGGGGAGTGGGATGTCAGAGAGAGAGAGAGAAAGCACAAGAGCAAGAAGTCCTGTCTGATATAGAAAAATTGAGACATCGACAGTATGGAGGCAATATTTAATAAGTATGAAAGGTAAGTGTGATTTCAACAGACAGAGATGAAGAAAAGAGCATTCCAAGCAAGAGAAATAACTTGAGCAAAGGTGTAGAGCCAAGGATGTAGATTCCCAGAATGTTCTGAGACTATTCAAGAAACTTAAGAGGCCAGTATATCTGTACGTAGGACACGTGAGATAAACTAGAGCAGAGATGGAAGTGACCTTGAGTGTCAGGCTAACATGGTTATCTTAGATTTAGTAAATGCAGAGAAGCAGGAATGGAAGGAGAAAGGAAGATGGAGCTCAGGTTAGTAAACAATAGTCTAGATTAAAAGTGTTAGGGTGAGTGCAGTGAAAATGGAAAGGAAACATATGAAAGAAACAGAATTGTCAGAATGTGTTGACTAATTAGCTTTAAGGTAGAGAACAGTGTATAATAGCTCTGACATAATGGGAGCCACGGAGGCTTGTCACCTGGTGACAACATTAATAGAAATAGGGACTTTAGAGGAGGCACTGGTTTTCATGGAAAAGATATGTTGGACTTTGGATATGTTGATCTTTGTGTTTATGAAAACCAGTTCCTTGGGGGCCCCTGTAGATGCTTAAGATTTGGGGGTTGGTCTAATAATCACCCACTCAACAAACAGTTTGTTAAGGCATTACAGTTATTGCTTCTCCTATATTGGCTTCCTCCATACTGAAAAATGTGTCTGAAAACTTCCCCTTTATTCTAATCTTTACCATTCCCTCTCTGCCTCTCTGCCTCTGAAGAAGAAGATTTGATTTCACAACCTGTTGGACCAGAAACACAGCATGCTAATCACAGCACCATATGCTGCGAGGGCAGATTTAACTACCCAGTACAACAAATTTCAGTGCAAAATATTCTGTGTGACAAGTCCATTGCCATGCTCACAGAAACAAGGAAACATGGAAAGAAATCGACTTACAACAAATTCTGTACCACACATAATCTACCAGAAAGGGGGGAAGGGCTTTCTCTGGTCACCATCTACATAATGATAGAAAAAGAACAGAGCCAAGGAAATGGGGGGATGTTCAGGGAATGACTCACAATCCTGTTTGGCTGGAGTCTAGGGTACATGCAGTATAAGTGAAGTATTTATTAATTTAGTATCAATTGCATTGTCCTAGGGAGAAGAAACCTGAGTTGACTGATAAAAATCCAAAAACCAAACCCGATGCCATCGGGTCGATTCCAACTCATAGCAACCCTATGGCAGAGTAGAACTGCCCTGTAGGGTTTCCAAGCAGAGGCTGATAGATTCGAACTGCCGACCTTTTGGTTAGCAGCCAAGCTCTTAACCACTGCGCCACCAGGGCGCCATAGCTGAGCTCCTTTACTTCCTATTCCTGAACCCAAACAACAGTTACTAACAATTTCTTGCTAATTCCCTTCACCCATCTCTTCCTCATATTCCCAAACACAAAATCGTACTCCTAAACTCCAGGATTGTGTGCGAAATCAAAAAGCAAAGGGAATCTTAAGCTTATGAGGACTAAATATGAAGAGGGCTTCTATGTGACACCTTCTCTCTTTACCTCCTGGAACCTAAGCTCTTCTTTTCACTTTTCACTTGCTACTTTAACAAAAGGGCCTACAAATTTAGATTGTGATTTGAAATAATGTGTGAATTTAAAATAAAATCTAATAACAGCAAGAAATTCAAATGTTCCAGAATGTGTTCCATGCACAGAAACTTAAATCTGGAAGGAACCTTTAAGGCCTTCTAATCCAAGCCCTTTATTTTACAGATGAGAAAACTGAAGCCCAGAGAGGTGAAGTGAGGTGCCCAAGGCCACACAGCAAGTTAGAGGCACAGCTAGTACCATAGCTCAAGTCTCCTGACTCCCAGTCCAGTGCTCCTCCCATTACTCCACGGGTCCTGTCCCTAAGCTTCCTGACAAATGCTAGAACGGTAAACCTCCACTAGTATTTTTCCGGACCGTGTTAAAACTCTTGAGGGGGGAGAAAAGGATGCGTTCTTGGATAATGTCATCCGTACGTAGCTCAAGCTGTCTAAGTTCTGGGACAGGGTCTTTTTATGCAGCAACCGAGCCCAAATGTGGTTCTGTTTGCTTGGCCCATCTGCTTTCATGTGTTCCCAGTTAGGCCATTACTGGAGGGAAAAAACAAGAATCAGCTTGTTTTAAAACAAGGGACATACTGGACTGCCTCCCATCCCCCCTTAGGAAAAAAAAAATCAAGTTATCTTTAACAGATTCTAAAAATGCCTTTTCCCAAATATGCAGTCAGTTCCTTCAAAGGGCCCTTTGTTTATTTTCAGGAAGAAACCCAAGACAGCTGAAAACCAGAAGGCATCTGAGGAGAATGAGATTACTCAGCCGGGTGGATCCAGCGCCAAGCCGGGCCTTCCCTGCCTGAACCTTGAAGCTGTTTTGTCTCCAGACCCAGCCCTCATCCACTCAACACATTCACTGACAAACTCTCACGCTCACACCGGGTCATCTGATTGTGAGTACACCAGTAAGGGATGGTGACTTTGCCGTGCTTGGAGCAGTGCTTTCCTGGGCTCTGGCTTTTTTGCATTCAGCACAAGTCATTTCTTTTTGGTCTTCTAAAGTTGCCACCATTTTGATCCAGCCAACATCCATATTTTCAAAGCTAGAGTGTGTTTTAAAGACAGGTGACCAGCCATTTGGCCTCAAAAGGCTGATTAATTACACGAACCACATTCTCTTTCATGACATCAACTCAGAAAAAAGAAAAAGAAGCTGTGTTGCTGCTTTTTAATTATTCTTTTGCCCCATGATCTGAAAAACAGCATTTTCGCCATTACTAAACTGAACAACCAAATGTGGACCTCAAAAGGCCAGTCAGACACAGGAAACATCCATTTTGGAATTACACAACACGAGTCAGCTTTGCATTAGTTACTGGAGTCTCGTGTCACTTGGCTGAATTTCTGTCTTTCCAGTTTTTAATTTATTTTGAAGTGGTAAAAGGATAGCACAAATTTACAAAAGAAAAGAGAATGGCTTCCAAGAATTTAGAAGCCGCCCAGACTTCACGTAGCCAACAAGAATTCAGGTTAAAAATATTTTTAATTAAAAAAAAATGCCTAAGGGGTAAATTTGGAAATGGGCAGCTTAATGAGATCGTGCTATTGAAATCACTTCATTGCTGTTTATTTTTGCTGTCTTCCCACTGATCTGGGAGTCACTTCTTCAAATTCTATTTTAAGAAAGTTGATAAATCACGTTTAGATTTTCTTCTTCTTCCTGAAGTGTAACCCAGTACTTCAGAGAGAAAGAAACATGTGTGTTGTCACTGGAAGGAGTGGAATAACTTTTTGGTCCAATCCCAAAGAATATTCCTTTTAGTCTTGAGATACCCAACAACTCTTCTGAATGATCTCCATGAAGACTGTCTCGTAGCGGGCAAAGAGCTGACGTATTCTTCTTTAGAATTAGTAAGATAAGACCAAGAACATTTTATTTGCAAAGAAGGACTCCATTTATCCTGCCCACAAAGACAAAAGGTATTAATTAGGAAATGAGATTCTAAATTTCCTATTGTTGTGTTTCTGACAGAACAAATGTAAAACTCTGCCAAGAGGGCAAGGGGTGAGTGGGTCTGGGAGATTCCATTGCCTTCTTGCTTTATCATAACAGTCTCTAGATAAAGCAAAAAGACCTAAGGGCAAGAGTTAGGGTGAAAGGAGCTTGTCCTACTAATGGCTGGGCTAAGAGCAGACTCCAGCTGTCACCAGAAAATGAAGAGAAGTAACAAGATCCAAATCTCTCGGACCCACGTGATTTGTAAAGTCAAAGTACTGTTTCTGTAGAGAGGCCTGGAGGTCAGAAGTGGGATCTGTGTTCTGCGGACCGTCCTAACGCTAACATCCTTGAAAGTCCTTGCCTGGCAGGCTCCAGCCTAATGGTAATTACAGGAAGAATTGGAGAATAGTGTGGCACAGTGCCCATAGACATGTGTGTGCTGTCCCTACCTACCAGGAAGGTAGCCTGTTCCTGTGGTGAAGGGCCTGGAGCTTCGGCACGCAGACCTTCATTGCCTGGCTTTCTGCCACACCTTATGGGCGAGATGACGTAGAATGGCCCTAGCCCAGAAATCCCTGGGTACAGCAAAATGAATGTTTCACTGAATAGAAGGGGGAAAAACCCACGAGGCTCGTTTATTGTGCGTTACCATGAGCATCTTCCAGCCAGGCCGAGAGTTCGCATGCAATGTGCACAAGGTACGAGAAGGCACCACTGCAGAGTTCCTCATCGGCCCTTAGGAAGCCAGTGGGTCTGAGCTCAGGCGGGGCTTGAGAATGAAGTTGGAAGGAGAAGAAATAGGCAGGGGAAATCTAATTTCCAGGGACTTAGAAAGTCATCTTGATTTTGCCATTAAGATATGTAAGTCTTCTCGGCTCCAACCTGTTGTTGAAATTGATTATTCTTCCTTCCAAATATATTTGGGTTGTAGTTTGTCCTGATTTGAGCCTATACTTAGAAGAAAATTGTTTTTAGGAAAGATTCACACAAATCTGTCCATTTGGAAATTGTTTGAGAGAAGACAGGAAAGAAGTTTATTTTAAGCTGTTAAAAATTTTGGATGCTCTTCTTGCATTCAAGAGATTTTATTTTATTTTTATTTTATTTTACTTTCAAATGTCATTCTTACCATTGATTAATTTAAAAGCCTAATTTCTTTAAGATAAAATATTCAGTTCCTATTTAGAACTAACAGATTTGGGACATTTAAAAATAGTACCCTTGACTTGTTCGTCTCTGTAACTTTAGAAGCATTCCACCAGTGTGTGGTGTTCTAAGCTCTCACAAGTGCCTGAATTTTTATAGCACCTTTTTATTTGTCATGTGTTTAGTGAAATTATTCTTAGTCATGCCTTAATGCCCATTTCCTCTCAGTCAGTATCTTCCCAGTTTACAGATGAGAAAACTGAGAATGTTGACCCCCAGATAGATAAAATGACTTGCTCGTAGTTAACTCATTTGAGTCCTGAGGGATGCTTTTGGATTTGCTCTCATAATGAGCAGTCAGGATTCTCTGTTCCAAACACAGACAGCATTCCTGACTCTGAACAAGCATCTTAAAAATGTGCGACTACCCATATTGGTGACCAGGTCACAGAAACATGATGGAAGAAGCATCCATACAAAAGAAAATTCTACTCTGGGTATGGGCTGGTAAGAGTGGGTCGGGAGTCCTTTGGTGGCATAAATGGATAAGCACTTAACTACTAACCGAAATGTTGGCGGTTCAAACCCACCCAGAGGCACCTCAGAAGAAGGGCCTGGTGATCTGCTTCTGAAAGGTCACAACCTTGAAAACCCTATGTAGCGCAGTTCTACTCTGAAACACATGGGGTCGCCATGAGTCGGAATCAACTAGACAGCAGCTGATTTAGGGTGGGTGAGCCACAGTGTGTTTGCATATGTAAGACACCAGCCATGTTCTAGAGCAGAGATGACAAATCTGACCCCTTAAATTCTCAATTGGCTGTTTAACCTGCTGAGCCACTTCAAATTTGGCAAAATAGCCCAGTGATGTTCAAAACGAGAAAGAATATAGTTGAGAAATGCTTTCATTTGTGAGACGATGAGGTTAATGTTGCTGCTGAAATGTGTGTGAATGCAGTTCCCTTTGAGCATTCCTCCCGTTACCTCCGTCACCTCCTCACCATTCCTAAAAATCGAACGGTAAACAAACTCAGAGAGTGATAAGGGAAGACATTAAGGCAGGTTTTAGAAAGCAAAGGGTACAAAAACCTTAGGTATTTGTGATGGAGCAGTTATCTACTGAACAGGCAGAGTCTGAGCTGAGCAAACTCTACCTCAAATGCTTCAACAGGGCTAAACCAAGTCAGTAGAGCACACGAAGCTCTCATATGAGAAACCTTGGTTGACCACTATCAAGCTGTGACACGTCACGATCATGTACATGCAATGTGATACGGGAGACCAGAACTTTTGCTTGCATATTTCTTCCATTTTGCTTTCCCCCAGATAAGGCTCCCATTGAGAGGAGAAGTGGCTCTCCTTTCTCTGGCGATCCTTCCTGCTCTTGGCTGCAGACACACCTATTCTGGTGTCTTCCTTTTGTTGGTAGCTGACATTCACGGTTCCTTACCTTCCCATGTTTTGTACCGTCCTCATCAGACTGTCTCGTTTTTGTGTCCTTGCCAAGATGCACTTATGCATTAACAGTTTTTATTTATTTTTAATTTAACCTTTACACATTAGCAAACTGTTGTGTGGCTGGGTTTAACTTTAGCTCTGTAGGTAGTGTGACTCTGCTGGGGCTTAGCACTGTCGAGGAGACCAATGGGCCCTTCCTTTCTCTCTCTTGCCATCCACCTTCGTGGCCTCCCCCTCCCAACCCTTTGCTTCACCCATCCAAGTCTCCGTGATTAAAATTTTTAGTACACTTGGCTCATTTTGAACTTTTAAGCAATTTTTTAGTGAACAAAACAAAGAGGATTTTTACGGCAAACTCCATTAATGCCACATTAAGCCTGACATTTTAATTACCCCAAAGTCAGGAAATGCAAAGTTCAGGTTCCCACAGCAACCAAAAGTGTCCCCTCCAGTGACTGCATCACAGCAGATCCTTTCATTCCCTGATTACACAACACCGGGCATGGGGACATTGTTTTTGTCCACGTATGTGGAAGGGAGCACAGCTTTTATCCTTTGTTTTCTTCCTGTAACTACAGTTGAGGATATGGGTCTTTAGCTTCCCTCCCCAGACCATCTATATGTATGATCCTGGAGCGGAAGACTATTACAGCTTTACATGTGCACATGGACAGAATTAAAGTTGCTGTGGGAACATTAACTCTGATTTCCGGACTTCCGTGCCAGTCACATTTAAACCATAATGTTGTAATTTTTGGCATGTAATAAATGTGCATTTCATGTACACAGACAGAAAGAAGCATAAAATGTATTTTAAAGAGCAATTAATTACTAACTTTGTGATTAAAAAACATTTGGTGCGTGTTCCTTCCCATTTAGCATCAGCTGCTGGTCTTAGCCAGGCCTAATAGATGACATACTGTGTCTCATCCTGTATCTCAGATGTACTTACTGTATGTTCCTATTCTTCCAGATAATTAATTCCCTTAGTAAAAGCTGTAGGGGAAACAAAATGGAAGGAATATGCAAGCATGTAAATAGGGTAAAGGACATTTTGAAGGAAGTGATTCATTTCTGCAAATAAACCTCTTAGTCCCTGATGAAGAGCCAGAAAATCTGCTAAGTGGGTGTAGACAAAGGTTTCTGGCCACCTTAATGCATCTGGTCCCGGGTGATAAGAACAACTTGAAAGCAGATTTCCCCATGAATTCCGGGCATGCCCACTGAGGGAGTGATTTTACTCTGTAAGAACTTTTCAGGCTTAAGGCTTAAAAAGTTATTTTACTCCGTAGGAACTTTTCAGTTTATATGCATTCTGGGAAAGAAAAGTTGTAGGGAATCAGGTAAGAT